ACGCATTTAACCAGTGGGTAACCAAATACAAGCTGCAATACAGCGATGATGGAGTCAACTTCCACTTTTACCAACTACCAGGCCAAAATTCACCTGAGGTATTAAACATTTGTTGATCTTGTAATTGTCTATCTTCTTGACTATATTGTTAACCTATAATATAGCTGTGACAACTAGTTCAGTGACTTGGCGGCAAACCAGTATGTTGCATTTACATTGCTATAATAATAATAATAATAATAATACTGATAATAATAATAATAATAATAGTAATAATATTAATGATAATGAGAATGAGAATGAGAATGAGAATGATAATAATATGGCTTTGATGAACCACACGATGTTTTTTAAGTTTATTATTTAATGAACTTAAAAAACATCGTGTGGTTCATCAAAGCCATATCTTACATCGTGCTGCTACGAAGCCTTAATGATAATAATAACAATAAGAATTAAAATAATAATCAAAATAATAATAATAATGCATAATACGCTAATACTGTAAACATTCCATGCATAGCAACCTGTATCCCCTTGGAGAGAGTTTAAGTAATGAACTGACATACTGGGAATTTCCTCGCTGTTGTGAGAGTAAATGCAACAACCAAACCTGCTGGAAGATTGTCTCCAGCAACTATAAGTATGAATGTTGTTTTCATGACGAAGGCATCCTGCTCTCTAAATGTCTCTTTCATCCGAGTGAATAGATATAGTACTTGTGTGTACAGTGTAAGGCGTCGAATTGCTCGGCCAAGATGATACAGTTGCTTGAAATATAGCCCTTGACTGCTGATACTATTGTGCCCAGGGTGCAACTATACTGTTAGTCCCCACGCCACGTACTAAAAAAGAATAATTTAAAGATGCTGGTACTAAAGAACAGTCAGCGAGGCTTAGAGAGGACTCGAGATGACCGATTGAATAATTTCCTGTTACCCCCGATCTGGACCAGTGTCCGCGTGGATATCTAAATCGGTCCAGTTATGGCTTAATCCAAGAACAACAACAACAACAACAACCATTTATTTGTACTCACAATTTATAAAATAATTACCATAAACATAAATCCGATACCAGTAAGCAGAACATTGTTCCTATTCATTCTTAGGGACAGGTATTCGATCAGCCTTGTTCATATATTAACATAACGTTTCTTTTTCGTGCATTTTTGTATTACTAACAAAGAATCACATGCCGGCTTTGGTCCTTGTCTCTAGGAGTTCGATGCGAATTATGATAGCGACACACCTGTATCCCACCAGTTGAGCCTGCCAATCAGCACACTCTACATAAGGGTTAGACCAACAGCTTGGCACAATCACATATCAATGAGAATGGAGCTTTATGGCTGCCCAGGTATCGTAATGATCACTCCCTAAGTATTTCTAAGTATGGAAACTGTATGAATTACTATCTGTTGCTCTGCGAAGTAGAGACGAAAATTGTCTTATTATGGACTAAGTTTTCAAACTGAGAGAGGGAAATAGGATTTTCATCAGTGGCAAAAAACAACTCCGAAGTTCTGTTTCGTAAGCCAAGTATTTGTTTGTATGAGTATGATTTTTGGTTCTTTCAGAGATAATTTTGTTTTTGTTTAAAAACTCACGCAGCGTGCAGAAAACCCCTGGGGATGGAAAGTAGTCTCATCCAAGATTCTCAAATCACCGCCTCTTCACAATACGATGACAATCATGCAGCAATCCAGGGTAGGCTGCACTTCCTGGCAGGTGGAGGCAAAGCAGGAGGATGGTCATCTCGAACAAATGATGCCAATCAATGGATTCAAGTCGATCTTAATAGTTACACCAAAGTAACACAGATAGTAACACAAGGAAGAAATGCATATAACCAGTGGGTAACAAAATACAAGCTGCAATACAGTGGAGACGGAATCACCTTCTACTATTATCAGCCACCAGACCATAGTTCACCCAAGGTATTGCTATAATAACGCTAATACTGTATACAGTCCATGCATAACGTCCTTGAAGAGAGTTTAAGAAGTGAACTGACATACTGGAAAACCCACTGCTGTTTTAGGGAGCAAATGCAACAACCAAACCAGCTGGGAGTTGGACTCCAGCAACTCTGTGCGCGCATGAATGTTGTTTTCATGATCAAGGCGTCCTGTATACAGTATATGAAAGAAATTAATACAGAATATAAAAGAAATAAATAGTTTTAAGAAGACTCTTTTTAAAAGTATGTTTTATAAGAAATAATTGAATTTTTAATTTAAATTGTTATTGTAAATAAGTTTTTTAATTTCTAGTATTTTTTAATAGTTAGTTTATTGTGACTGAAAAGCCCTGTTAAAGGGAGTTCCAATAAAGTATGTATGTACGTGTGTATGTGTGTATGTATGTGTGTATGTATGTATGTATCCTGTCCTTTAGGCCCTCTTTGATCCAAGTAAATAGATGTACAGCGTAAGGAGTAGAATTGTTCGGCTAAAATAATTCAATTGCTTGAAATATAGCCTTTGGCTGCTGATACTACTTTGTCCAGGGGGCAACTACACTATTTGTGGCCTAACGCCACTTACTAAGAAAACGTAGTTTAAAGATGCTCGCACTCAGGAGAAGCCATGTAGCGAGGCTTAGAGATGACTGATTGATTATTTTCCTGTTACTTCGGTCTGGAACTGCGTTATTATCCTATTTTATATTAAAATAACGTTTCTTTTCTTTATCTGTTATGTACGGGTAAACCGCAAAAATACCACATTTTTACTTCTTGCGGCGGCTTGCGAGTTCTTGCGCCACTTCTTGCGCGTGCATTATTCTTGGGCTGTACTGTATTATTACCAATGAGTAACATGCCAGCTTTGGTTTTTGTCTCTAGGTGTTCGATGCAAATCATGATAGCGACACTCCTGTGCCCCACCAGTTAAGTCCTCCAATCAGCAAACGCTACGTAAGAGTTAACCCAACAGCTTGGCACAATCACATATCAATGAGAATGGAGCTCTATGGGTGTGAAGGTATTATTTATTCAAATTAAAAAATGGTTAGTAAGCTGTGCCGGATTCGAATCGATAGGTCATAGCTCAAAAGGTCGAAAAATGTTATCAAGAAAGCATGGTATCTGAAAAATTGTCGAGTGTAACAATTAAAATCAATGACCCAGAGGTCTCCTCGAGCCATAGAATCTGCCAGATTTCATCGTGAAGAAGAATAAGAATTTGTTGTAGTTGATTACTATTTGTTAATATTTCTCCGATTTAGAGAATGTCTTGTCCATAAACATTTGTGAGAACTTCAAAGCAAGTATCGCATGCCTGAACGGAGGAGTCATCAAGATCGTGGATGCGTCTTATGGAAGGCATGACGGACAGACATGTCCCCATCCGAGTATCCAAACCACCAACTGCCATGCCGGGAGTTCTCTTGCTGTTGTGCAGAGCAGTTGTGATAACCAGGCCAGCTGTGAGCTAGATTCAAGCAACTCTGTGTTCGGGGATCCATGTGTTGGAACATTCAAATATCTACAGGTCCAATACCAGTGCATTCGTGTTCCAGCCGTTACCATTTGTGAAGGCAACAAAGCCGCCATAAGCTGCAACGATGGAAGGAAAATCAGCGTGCTGGAAGCTTCATACGGCAGACATGACGGTCAAACATGTCCCCATCCAAGTATTCTCACCACCAACTGTAATGCTGGAAATTCCCTTGGTATTGTGCAGGGCAATTGCAACGACCAAGCTAGCTGCGAGCTGGATTCCAGCAATTCAGTGTTTGGTGATCCATGTTTCGGAACATACAAATATCTTGAAGTCAAATATCGGTGCATTCGCTAGGTGAGTAGAAAAAATTGCTCGTTCGCAGTAGCCAATTCCTATTTTCGGTGCGGTAAATTAGGACGTGAATTCGTTTTATCGTAAACGGGGAATTTTATCGAGAGAGAGGCTATACCTTGTTACTAGATTACTCCGAGCTACAAGCAAAGTATAATACGTCCGTACTAAAATGAAAATCTATTTTAATTTGCAGATCAATTCCCGCAACTGAATAATGACAGGAGGCAGGACACAAGCAAGTCTTATAGATTAAATAGTGCACATGAATAACATCCGAACCTACACTCGACAAGTAGTAGATCGCGCCATTGTTAATTATTAAGTATAAATCATTGTATTGCCATGTTAGAATAATGCCTAGGCCACAATGAAAGTAATGAGTCTGTTGCAGTAGACAGGAGCTGTATATCAATGTTAATGACACACTGCTGTTACAACAGGACAATAGATATCCGCGTTATTAGCCCAGGATGGATTGTAATCCCATCCAGAAAGCCTGAAGAGTTATTTACTTGTCAGTTTCATGGTGAGTAAGTAGACCTGGGTATTCTTTCACGAGGAATTATAACCGGTAACCTATTAAGTTCTTTTTTTCAGCGATATATTTAAGAACACTTGAAAAATTTAGAAAGTTCGTGGTTTCCGGCTGTATTTTTGTATCAAACATGAGTTTGGCCGGCCTCGTTATTTGTTACAATTGTAGACTAACTGCCAATTTTGTCCAAAGATAGTTCATTTATTCACTTAAAAATAAAGAAAAGGTTTTCAAAGTGTGCCGGAGGTTGTCAATAAAGTTGTTGTTCCCAAGGAAACAGATAAACAGCCAAGGGACGAATAGTGAACCCCAGCCATAGATCTTTGCATTAAAGGAGCTATGCCAAGTCTTGCACATCTTCAAACGTATAGACTTAATTTTTCAAGTTCCTCGTTTTTGTGGTTACTGGAAGCCAGTAACCGTAATGTCATCGGATCCATTAGTAAGTAAGTAAGATAGTACGTGACTTTTCACATCTCACCAAGCGAGCTCGAAAATACCTCGAGATTTGCTCAAGTTCTTCTGATCGATTTTCACCTTTAAAACGCGAGTATTGATGAAAATAACAACTTTTACTGTTCAAAATTGGCGCCGTTTAAATTGATATCACTATTGGAGTGAGAAAATTGCGAATTTACTAGCAGAAGCATAGCGTTACGGGAACGTTACGGAGCATTACGAATGACTACGATCTCTAA